TCCCTCGGCTTGGTTTATTCACGCGCGCTTGCTTAGGAGGCTTCTTCGTAATTGGAAACCCGTCGGGTTCATAAGACTCTTAAATTCCACTGGTTCGCGTGTCGTGTATGTTGTGTTGGGTGTCTGGTGGTTTTTTATTTGGTGCGTTTGTTTTTTTCCACTGGTTCGCGTGTCATCCAGCATGTGTGCATCTGTATATAACCCTTGACCCCCGCCGCTTCCGTCTATGAATGTACCTCTTTGGGGGACTTAATTATACGCGCGCTATGTTTATGTGTATATATATACACATACATACATACATACATACATGCATGCATGCATGCATGCATACATACATACAGATGTAACCCGTGACCCCAGCCGCTTCCGTCTATGAACGTGCCTTGTTTGGGGAGTTCTTTCTACGCGCGCTAACGGGATCAACGCCGTCAGGATGAAACAGGGGGGCGGGCGGGCGGACCCTGACAGAAGGTTCTTGGCGGGCGGACCCTACTTGGCGGGTCGGGCAGACGCGACATGAAAGGCGGGTCGGGCTTGGCGGTCGGAGTTTCGCCGCTCCCCCTCATCGTCCTGTCCGTTCGGCGGGGCGGGCCGGCGTGAGGGGCCCGCCGCGCCCAGGCGGAGAACAGCCGGCTCAAGAAGGTGTTGACCAGGAGCGGGGGGCAATGACGAGGACGACGAGAACGAAGACGTTGACGGTGCGATCACATTTGGCAGCGATCATCGTGCGAACATGTGATCCAACAAGGTGTGATGACCTTCATGTGGTTCTCCCTCTCCCTTGTGCACGCCCGCTAAAGGTATGGACCATACCCTCTTTTTTGGGGGGTGGCATCTTTTCATACCAGCACCTGGGAGAAACCTTCAGCAGTGCGCTCTGTGTGCATACCGCGCCGTCATGGCCGTCATGCGAGCTACCGCGCCCGCATGCAACTCACCAACTTTGTGAATTGCCCGGAAGTATCGGAAAAGAGAGAGTCGTTCCTGAGTTTGGTGATTTCCAGGGCTTCTGAGAGTAGTTAGAATGTGAGGAAGCTTTACGGAGCGGGAGCCGTTGTCGTCTTAGTTGGGCGTTCACAACATTGAACGGCTTGCGAGGACATATTGCGGGCGAGAGCGCCGTTCCTGAGTGTGATAATGCATCTGACCAGGGCTCATGCGAGTAACTTGCGAGGAAGTATCGAGCGGGAGCCACTGTCGTTGCAGCGGGGCCTTCACCAACCTGAGTGGAGTGCAAGGAAGTCTTGAGCCGGAGCGCAGTTCCTGAATTCGAGGGCATCTTTGGCCAGGGCGTCTCGGAGTATGTTGCGAGGATGTATCGAGCGCAAGCCGTTGTCGTTGCAGTTGGGCCTTCACAAACTTTGATTTGAGCCTGTTTCGGAGCTAGCTCAAAGACTGCGGCTGGAGCTGGCTCAGCGGAATTAGCTCATCAAGCATTTTGAACTCGCTTTTGGCGGGGTCGCGATGCCTTCAGGAGGACACCCCTAGGGAACGGTGCAGACCGAAACCCGAAGCGATAGCTTGCACCATCGTCCGTTCTTGTTTCGGGCGCCCCCGACGGTCGGCTCGCGCCAAAAGTAAAGCCAGTCAGCACAACACGCGGGCAACAAATGCTGCCCCCCCCCCAGGGTCGCCACCACGCCTGCACGACAACTGGACACTGATGAAGCGCTAAAGCTTGCTGAGCGGGGTTAGCTCAGCTAGCATCTTGACCTCGCCTTTGGCGGGGAGCGCCGTTCCTAAATCGCGGGGCCTTTCTGGACAGCCTTCCTATTGCAAATTGTGAGGAAGTATCATTCGGGAGCCGTTGTCGTCGCAGCGGGGCTTTCATGAGCTCGTATTTGGACCCAAGCCCGCGCTTGAGCGGGAGCGTCGCTTTTCGCATTTCGCATTTCGCAACTCAGCTGTGTCAGGGGAGCGCGCGCTGGCTACTCGGGCGCCCGGGCCCCAGTCACTGCGACTCAGAGCTGCGCGGCGAGAGCAGTTCTGGGCCCGGCAGTCGACGAGGGACAGGCGGTGGTGTCACATACCTTTTCCCATCCGTGCTGCCATGCAAGGTGTGAATGACGAAGGCACGCGGCCCAGAAACCGCTGCCCTCCTGGGCAGCGCCGCTCGCCAGGATACCTGGCTGCATGCGGAAGCTCGCCAATGCGCACCCCCCCTCCCCATCTAGAGGCGCGGCAACGCTTCCACGGTCAACGCCTGGTGAAGCGACGGGCGCTCACTGTTCCAGAGCCCAGAGAAAAAAGACGGCGAGGCAACATGTGCACCACACGGGCCTGGAAAGAAGAGAAACAGGCGGGGGGCGAACAGAAGGGGAAAGAGGGGTGAGTGGCCTACGGGCTAGCCCTTAGCGGGGCACGGCTCGCTACCGTTTTGGGAGTCGCATCCATTCTCAGCGTAGGGCAACATGATCGACCCACGAACCCGGAAGGGAACGCGATTGGGCGACAGGCAATTGCAATGTTGAAGTTATCGATCGTGATATAACGTGCTACATTTTGTGTTGTGCCGTGTCATGCTGAAACGAGATGTGGCAAGCCGCAATGAAGTGCGTTGTGATCTATAGCATCGTGGAACATGTCGCCTTTGACATCCGGATCCTGAGCGAACTGATCTGGATGTTAAGCTCGAGCTGCCTGAACGCATAGTTGGCCTAGTACTGGATGCAATCGAAACGTGTGGGACTCTCAATCAGCTCGAGCTCAAGATCCGACTCAGTTCCGAAGCGGGACGAGACGACACGGGTCGCAACGCGCATGGATGCGCCACGGAATGTGCCAGGGGCGCACTCGGGGACGCGCGAAGGGTCGTGTCAGTGGACGTGGCAAGGGACGTGGCAAGGGACGCGCCACGGAACGGGCAGGGATAACGCCAGGGGACAAGCCAGGGAACGCGACAGAGGACGAGCCAAGGGACGCGCCGAGGGGGGAGGGGCATACGCCGTCCCGCTCTGGGGCGTTAGGAGCCCATATGTTTTCACGCTTGTCCCGCTCCGGTGCGTTAGGAACCTACGTGCTTTCACATGTCCAGGCCACCCAGGGACGGATATCTAACATGTGGTCTTAGAGAACATGATCGAGACACGAACCTGGAAAGGGATATGGAAATGTCAGGCATGGCAACGTTTTCAAGGCACTTGATTGGGCGACGGGCAATTGCGATGTTGAGTGTATCGATCTTGGTGTACCGTGCCCAGGGCTGTGCTGTGCTGTGCCGTGATGAACTGCGATGTGCCATACCGCGATTGTGCTCTACAGCGTTGTGGATCGAGTCCTCCTTGGCATTCGAGTCCTGACCGAACTGGTCTGGGTCTTAAGCTCGAGCTGCTTCAACACATAGTAGCCGCCCCAGAGCAAGTTGAAGTGGAAACGTGGAGGACGTTCAATCAACTCGACTTCAAAATCCAACTCAGCTCCGAAAAGAAACGACACGACACTGGGCACAGGCTCACGGACGCGCCACAGGATGTGCCTGGGGCGTAAGAGGGGATGCGCGAGGTGACGTGTCAGGGGACGCATCAGGGGACGTGCCTTGAACGTGTCAGGGGCTTGCCACGGGACGTGCTAAAGCGCGTGCCATGGTGCGGCCAGAGGACGTCATGCCAAGGGACGTTGTAAGGGTCCCGCAACGGAACGGGCAGGGGACACGCCTGGGGACGAGCAAGGAAACGCGACAGAGGACGAGCCAGAGAACGTGCCACGCCGAGTGGCGTGCTCAGGGACGTGCCAGGGCACGTCACGCCTGAACGTCGCCCCCACGGACGGGCGGGGCCGGACTGCGACGCACTCTACTGCGACAAGCGTTTCCCTCGAGACATCCTCAAACAATCCTCATGTTAGACATTCGCCTGGGGGACCTGGGCACGTGGAACCAAGCGTCTCGCTCGAGACGTTCTCAACACATCCTCATGCTAGACATCCGCATGGGCGACCTTGATACGCGAAAACGGGCGGTTCGTTCGAGACATCATCCGAACATCTTCATGTTAGACATCCGCTTGGGCGACCTGGGCACATGAAAACAAGCGTTTCGTTTAACACCTCCTCATGCTGGACATCCTCCTGGGCGACCTGAACACGTGAAAGCAAGCGTCTCGCTCGAGGCATCCTCAACACATCTTCATGTTCGACATCCGCCTGGGCGACCTGGGCACGTGAAAACAAGCGTTTCGCTCGAGACATCCTCGACACGTCCTCGTGTTAGGCATCCGCCTGGGCGACCTGGACACGTGAAACCAAGCGTCTCGCCCGAGACGTTCTCAAAACCTCCTCATGCTAGACATCTGCCTGAGCGGCCTGGATATGTGAAACCAAGCGTTTCGCTCAACACATCCTCAACACACCCTCATGCTAGACATCCGCCTGGGCGACCTGGACATGTAGCCGTTCTGGCTCAGGCTTTTATAGCCTCAGCTTGCAGCAACATGCCTTCAGAACGGCATCGTGCTGTTGCGGGCCTCTGGCTCGGTATTTTCGCCGAAGGTGCTCCCTCATTCATTCAAGGAGTCGCAGCCATCACGTCCTTGTCGGCGGCGGCGGCAAGGGCAGTGTCTCTTGGGCCCCGTGGCACCGTGCTTGGAGCTCGGCCCCGCAGGCTTCGCTTGGAGGTCAGCAACACGGACAGTACTCCTCATCAGCCCCAGATGCAGTATGAGTTCTCGTGGCCGACTCTCAATCCTGGTCCTCAAGTGCTTGCCCTTCCTGTTGGTGATGGCGTTCGGCGCGGTCCAACGCCAAAGGAGCATCGTTGGAAGTGTTATTTCTGCGGGCGCGGCAAGAACGAAGCCAGGTTCTATCTCTGCTAACTCTGCGGTGCGCTCAAGTCGGCCTCCATGGTTGATCCGAGCTCGGCGTGGTCAGCTGAACCTCCATCAGGTGGAGCCCACACAGGTGGACATGGTACATCGGTTGGCTTCGGTGGAGGCAAAGGAGGAGGCAAGGGTGGCAAAGGGGGCTTACCAGATGAAGCGGCCAAGCCGCCCTTGTCTGCCGAGGAGTATTTGCAGTTGGCGACATTGTGCGAGAAACTTGGTGACAAGGTCGGAGCAGCTGCCCACCGCGTGGCTGCCAAGGCGCTCGCCGAGCCTAAGTCTGTCCCAGAGGCTACGCAGGTCCAGCTCAATAAAGCCCACCAGCGCGCCAAGACCATTGAGCGCAAAATGGAGCAGGCGGCTGGCAAGTTCCATTCTCTCGAGCAGCAACTGTCAGTTCAACGAGATGATGTTGTGCAGCTTCGGGCTGAGCTCGCTGAGGCTGCGGAACATCACAAGCAGCTGGTCCAGACGTTACATTCCACATTGCCTCAGGAGCCATCTGTCCCTCGTATGCCCGCTGAGGTCCTTTTCGACGAGTCGAAGCTCTCTTCCTTCTTCGACATCGACTTCGGTGGCATCAGCAGCGCGTTCCGTCTCGCCGATGGCCCTCTCTGCTGGCTCGTGCCGATGCGGATGCGATTTTGGGGGTGCCAGATGCTGCCAGCCCGTGCGATTTTGTAGTCAGACGACAGACCCCTTTCGATTTCTCTCGGCCTTCGACTGTGCATCCTGTGAGCTCGTCGGTGAAGGAGGCCCCTGGTCGGGCCACCTTGGTCAGGCTCCCGTTGCCCGGCCCCAGGGCCTTCATTTGCAAGGATGCTCGTCTGTCTGGGAGCGCGCTCCTTGGGGGTTCTGAACCGCCGGTGGATCAGAGTCCTCGGCGCCGCTCCCCGCCCCCACCTTTTTACTCGGAGCGCTCGGTCTTTGGCCCCAGGGCGCAGTGCTAGAGCTGGTTTGGCTCATAGCGCCCCGCATGAAGCCTGTGGTGTCCAGCAGCGCGGCTTCCTTAATCAGTCGGGCTCGACTGCCGTGCAGGTTCATACCATCAATGCCAATTCTTTGGGCACCATGCGCACGCTCCTCGTTGGTTGTGACGCTCACATTGTGCTCTGCCAGGAGCATCGGTTGATTTCTTGAGAAGATCGGACAGGCCAGCGCCTGGTGTCTCCGCCGATGATGGATGTCGGCGCGGTCGCCCGCCTCGGCCACCGTTGTGGGGGGTGCCAGCGGGGGCGTCGCCATTTCGTGCGCAGTTGGCTCGGGTGTCAGGACGTTCCAGGAGGCAACGCGGCCCAGGGCAGGGGTCTTGTTTGCTCGGTGGAGCTCCCAGGCGCCCCTCCTTCCCAGGATGCCTCTGCCTGTCTGCATCATTCGGTAGGGATGTCAGACCGCAACATGGAGCTCTCGACCAGCGCCGGGTCATTCATCTCCTCTCCTGCCAGCCCGTGGGCTTTAGGAGCTGATTTCAACGTGGAGCCTGGCGAGGTGCAGCGCTCTCAGTTTGCGCTCGAGCTTTGCGGCGCTTTGGTCGCCCCTGCCGTCTGCGCGCGCTATCCCGCTGGCCCCCCCTTCCACGCTTGATTTCTTTATGATTTCCAGCGGCCTGGCCAAGGGCATATAGAGAATCGATGCGACGCTGGATGCTGAGCTCTCGCCCCGCCGCTCCGTGGAAATCAAGGTTTTCCTTCGGATCGCGGTTATGAAAGCTCTGTCGTTCCGCGAGCCGCCCCCCATTGGCCTGCGCGGGGGTTCCCCGCCCGTCTCCGCCCCCCCAGGTATGGGCTGGCGTGCATACCACGGTTGATTTCGCTCAGACCTTCGCACCCTGCTGAACGTGAGTTGGTGCCCTTGGTGGGTTCTTCGCCAGTCATGTTCGGGTCTCGCGGGTTGGGTCCTCAGCTTGCCTGGAAGTCTGTTCTGGCCAAGGATACGCAGGTCCGCCATCCAGGTCACCGTGCCATTCGCTGGCTCGGCCAGCAGCTTAGAGGTTCAATTCACGCGTCGCGAGCTGATGCTGAGCCGGAGCCTTCGAGACGGCTGAGGCCTCTATTGCTGCAGCCGCCTGCTGGTATATTTGAAGGTCGCGATGATTACGCCCCCCACTTCGAGAAGGTGGTAGCGGCGGCGGGGGCCTCAGCTGACCCAGAGTCCCACTCGGCCCTGCACATTCAGGTGCGCGAGGCCGCCCAGGCCGCCGACGGCAAGTACGCTGCACGAGGACGGGCTGGCTTGAAGGCTTGGCTTGCCAGCGGCATTTCGTCGGGTACCAAACGGGCGCGCTTGCTCTTGCGCGATCCCACGCCATGGGCGGCTAGCAGCACTCTGTCGGCTGATGGGTATACTGTCACGGACCCGTTGTCGCCCCCCAAAGCGGAGGGGTCTCGTTTCGCGGCCTTTTGGTGCCAGGGCGTTGGCGTCATTTGTTCTGGTGAAATCATGGTTCCGCGTCCCAGGCGCCCGGCCCAGGTGGCGATCCGAGAAATGTCGAAATCGTACAAGACTTCATCGGCCGTCTCGGTTGACGGATTTCATTGCCGACTCGTTTTCTTGTTATGCGACGAGGTTCTCGATTGTTTCAGCAGCGTCCTCAGTGCGATTGAGGCTCCTGGCTGCCTTCCTCCGCAGATGTCGGTTGTCTTGCTTGCGCTGCTCCCGAAGCCTATTGGTGGCTTCAGGCCGATTGGGGTGTTCTGTTCCTGGTTCAGGGCCTGGGGGGCGCTGCAGGCGCTCCCTCGCCCTGGGCTGGGAGATAGCACCCTCGTCGGTACTGGGCTGCCGGCCAGTTTCGGGGGGCGGCGGATGTTGTTTGGAGGCATGCTGTCGCTGCTGAGAGTGGATTGGCCAGGGGGGAAGCGAGCTGTAGCATATGCTTCGATTTATCCAAGTTCCACGAGCACATATCATTGGCTAAGCTTGAGGACAGGTGCAAGAGGCTCGGCTTCCCTTTGGTCATCATGTGGCTTTGCATCAATGCATACCGCTGTGGCAGGTTTTCGAGCTTAGGGAGCGGCGTGAGGGGCCATGCTTCTGTGTCAACGGAGTCATCGCAGGTTGTTCGATGGCCACCTCTCTCGTTCGTGTTTATTGCGCCGAAGGCTATGATTCCATGCCGTTCCCCCATGGTCTTGACATGGACGTCTATACAGACGATCCATGTCTCTCGGCTACTGGCAATTCGAAATGCGTGGTTTCCTCCATCGTGGCTGGCGCGAATGCTCTCGATCGGGTGGTCCAACAAGAGTTCGGGTGCTCGTTCGACCTCGATGCAATGGCTGCCGTTGCTAGCTCGAAGTCTGTCGGTCGCCGGCGTTGGATCAGCTCAGCAACCTCTGTCAGCATTGCTCGCCGCCCACGGTCAACGTCGGAGTTGACTACGCGGCGGGCAGGGCGCTTCGCGTCGCAGGCAAGTCGGCTACGATGAAAGCTCGTTTGGCCAAGTCTTCGCGCGCTGCTCGGCGCCTCGGCAGGCAAGTCAAGGTTCTTTCCAGGACGTCGACACATAGGGCATAGTCGGCCGGCCCCTTAGCTGGGGCCCCTTCCGGAACTGAGGTCACGGGCATCAGCGATCGCGATCTTAGTTTTCTGCGCCGTCGAGTTTTCGGTCGTTCGACCTCGTTGTCAGCTGAGGTCTCTCGCGACGAGCGCCCTGTTGGATGGAGATCCGACGCGGCGCGCGGCGCCGATAACCGGGTGGGGCAAGGAGACTTTGACCAACCAGACGCCTGCATCTCCCTGGGCTCTCAGCCTCAAGCCCCTCAATGCCGCCTGGAGGTCGGCGTTTGCTCGGGAAAGCTGCCCGTGGCACTAAGTCTCTGGGCTTGCCACGGCCCTCCGCATGTCGCTGGTCCGCCTCGGGTGGCACATGAACGATTTCATGAGTTTAGTCCGCGATTTCGGGCAAGTTATCCCCCTTGGTTCGCCCCCCCCTTGCCCTGGCGCGGCCCCTGGTCCGCGAGGGGTCCCTTCGCATGCTCGAGCGCGATTCGGCTGCGAAGAGGGGGATATATTCCAGGATCTGCTACGGCATAGTTCGGCAAGCGGCTTCTCCCAGGACCAAGAAGTTCACGGCCCTGCAGAAGGCCAGGATCAGATCTTTCGCCGCCGAGGCCTTTTTCACGGCTGCTAGGGCGGAGGCCTTCGGCGATCGTGTCTCTCCTGACTGCGTGTTCTGCGGTGCCAGAGACGCCGTCTTCCACCGCCAGTGGGAATGCCAGCGCCCCGAGGTCGTGGAGGCTCGTGTTGAAGCCGCCAAACAGGATATCATTGATGTTGCTTTGTTTGGTAAGGCCTTCGGGGAGCTTGAAGACTACTTCGTTCTTATGTCTGGAGCCTCTCGGCATCCTGCCAGCTCTTACCCCAGGCCTGCTGTGGAGGCTGATGATGGTCTGTTCATCTCTTGGCGCGCTCCCCCCGATTCGGCCCTTGCGGGAGGGCCCATCACCAATCGCATTTCGGGCCAGCTTTTTTGTTGATGGTTCTTGTGCTCGGCCCCCTTTCGGAAGCTTTCTCGCGCTGCGAGCTTTTGTCTGCATGGCCGATGCTGAAGGAGCCCTCGCGGCCGAATCCAGAGTCCCCGCCTGGGGCCCCTACCCTCAGACCCCCCAAAGCGCTGAGTCTAGTGCCTTCACTTGGGTCAACGTTTTGTTTTCCACTCATCTTGATGAATGCCATGTCTATTCTGATTGCTTGAATGTTGTTAGGCTCGCGGCGTGTTCTAAGCCTGGCAATTGTCTGGCGCTAAGGTTGATGCTCAACATGACATCGATGATCCTACGATCGACGCCGACGAGCGATGGCGCCGCATAGGTAACAAGTTTGCCGATGTTGGAGCCAATATGGCTCTGCACATCCACTCCTCCAGTGCTGGTCTGTCCAAGGATGCCGACGATCTGGTTCGTTTTGCGAAGGCCACTTACTTTGAAAGTCGCCAGTGCTGTCCTCCATCTTTGGCCCTCAGTCGATCTCTCTCATCTTGAGCGCGTTGGCCTCCTCCCTCTCCTGCCAGGGCCTCTGCGGGCCACCGCCGGGAGCGCTGGGCGGGAATTTGGAGGTGCGGGTTTTGTCTCAAAGGCTG